CTTGCTTTTGGAACACTAAGTTTGAAAAAGAAGCAAGTGGCTCATATTACTGTAATTTTGCAGAGCAAGGTTCAGCCTGAGCATCACAAATGAGGTGGGAAGAGGCATCCCCAGTATCTATCCCACCTGGCCATGTTATTTCTGCTCTGAATAAAAGAAAACAGGCTGCTGATTTATCTCTCTCCCCTCCTCCTTGTCCCACAGCCCCCTCCCCCTCTCACAGACGCCCCACCATCCCCTGGGACAGACAGGGCCATCAGAGATTGCATCCACCAGCTGGACAGGCACGTTTGTGTGTGGCTGAAGTGGTCTTGCTTCAAGCAATATGGCAAAGATCTGGCAGAGATACAGGGCCTCCACCGGCTGCACTCCCAAGTGTATACCTGCTTCCAACAGCAGCGCCCAGAAGCAGGCGCACTGCAGGAGGACCTGCCGGTCCTCCCAAGAGAATGGGGGACCAGTTCCTCCCCCAGCAGAGGAGACACCATGCTACAGTCCATAGCGGCTCTTGGGGCTCACACAGGGCACAGGGAGATTTAGCACGCTCCATCGAATTCAGGGCAACAGGCAGCTCTTTCTCTTTTCCCCATTTGACACCACTAAGTGGAATACGTGAACATATTGTCTATTCCTTTACTTTTCACATGTGCAAGCACGTTCATCCCCTGGAGAAGCAACCGCCACAGAGCCCATGCCGAGCAAGAGCAGGCACAGGTACAAACAAGGGGTGCACGGATTCTGGCTAAAAAGCACCTGGGCAAATGAGCGACCTTATTACTTTCGGCAATGCACACATTTCCTTCTCTCTGGTGCTAAACGAGCATAGAAGAGCGGCCTAGACTTCAAAGAAATTAGTAATACTTGGTAAAGCTCATTACAGGAATTGCTTTTTTCTTTAAATCTGTATCACCGTGCTCTTCTACTGTTAGAGCCGCTGCGTCCTCCTGCACAGCCTCCAGAAGAATGACAGCAGTGCTTGTAAAATAGGCAGAAACAACAGATATCTTCCAATGCCGTTTTTTATGAATCTGATCACACTTGCAGGGTCACCTTATTTTGAACCTCTTCAGCCTTGGGGTTAAACGTGTGTTTCACATTCATGTTCCTCAGCTCACATTCACTCACCAGAAGGAGGCGAACGGAAGGCTAAGAAGAGTGACACATCCAACGGTGATTTGTGACAAAAGGCGGGGAAACAGGGAAAGGAAAAAAACACCACCTATGAAGTAATTTGTATATTTCTCATCCACGTCTTACGGCGAGAGCTCTCCTGCTAACAGTAGTGTATAAGTGACTTCCTAAGCCAGCTTAGTTTTTCTGGCATCGTTTTATCATAAATACATAGAACAGGCTAGGACCAAAAGAAAACCAACCCAAATGCAAACATTTTTATAATCCCCTTGAGAAAAAAATCTGTGGGTTTAATTTATTGGATCAATCACCTGTATTCTAGTTAGTTTTCAGCATAAGGAGTGGCCCCAGAAATTACCTCCACTTCGGACAGGGCTCCTAAAAAGCAGAAATAAATCCTAGGAGTGATGCCTTCCACTGCCTTCCCACCATGTAGACTTTTACCCATATTAAGTCTGTTTTCAAAGCTGATCTCCATTGAAGCCCACATTGGGACGCTGCCACAAAACCCCAACAGGTTCCTTCAGTCAGTCCCTGTCTGCTAGAGAGCTCTGCGACCAGAATACTAGTGCAACAGAGCTGTCAAAAATAAAATCAAGGCCATTATGCTACTATTCCGCCTTCCGCCAGCTAGGCCTTAAAATGAACAACACCGTCAGTCTGAAAATGACACGACCACACCATTTGGTCTTTGCAAGGTTCACCGCAACAATACACACTGTTACAAAAACCATGTGTTATTCTATGACACGACCCTTTACATGCCAAGATGTCGTCCGCTAAAACGCCTGCTGAAGAGTCTGACACCTTCGTCTCCTGAACAGTCCCCTCCAACGTAAACAACTATGATTTTGGTCATCACTATTGCCCTTCCATTGAAACTCTAGTAAAATTTGCACTGAACTAAAAACGCTGTCACTTTTAACAGAAAACGCAAGCAAGATCTTCCGCCAGTTTGCACCGGGCTTTGGCAAACACGTGCCAGCTGTACGGATGCTGACGAGGGAAGGAGGCGCTCGCCAGGGCGCTGCAGGGATTCATGTGGCTGAACCAGAGAGGGAAAA